AGCAAATTAATTGCTGAAGTAAGCCAATGCAAACTATTATGTAAACATTGAAGTCCAAGTTAAATATGTGTGTCTGCATTTAGTTAACACTTTTTTCCATGATGGAATACAGTAAAATAATTTATGTTTTTTTATTGTACGCTGATGACACTGTACTTTGTGTCTGGATCAAACATACACAACTAACAATAAATTAAATACAGATCTTCAACATTTACATCAATGGCTGCAAGACAATCATTTGAATATTAATGTTAAGAAAACAGAATGTATGTACTTTTACTCATCTAGGCGAACATTATCCATTTCCAATCCCATCATTTTTTTCAAATCAAAAACCATTGTATCTACATTCAATATTTCTATATCTATTAAATATTTCAATATATCTAATATCAATATTTAAGAATCAGTCTGGATTCTCAGCTTACTTATTGTGAACATGTTTACAATGTCTATAAAAACCGGAAACAAAGGCTATTGGTTTATAGGAAAATTAGGACAAATTTGTCTCTTTCTGTTTCTGAAACTTATCTTCATGCCATAACTTTGTCCCCTTCCTGCAGGCACAGGACATCAGCATGATGTCATATTGATGGTGTACCCCATTGTCTTGGGGACGTTGAATTTTGTTTGGAAAATAAAATCGGGTGGACGTCAGAACCCAACATCAGGTCGACATTAATGTCCTACCTAAAATCAACCAAATATCAACGTCTAATCATGTTACACCTTGACATTGTGTGGACATTACCACTATGACATCTATCAGATGTTGGATTTTGGTCACTTTCCAACACAACCTAAAATCAACCAAATATCAACGTAATTTGACGTCACTTTTGGACATCAAATGTTGTCCTTAGGCGCTGGCTAGGCATAGATTTTTGATCACATGACGTCATGACCTAAATCTAACCTAATATTAACATCTTATGATGTTGTGTGCCTGCTGGGTTGTCATATTGTTTGCCTGTTTGGTCACTCACAACAAATGATATCGTGAATCCAATAGCTAGACTGTACAATCGGGCCTAAAAGATCCACTATAGACTTTCTGGATGAACATATCATTGTTTTGTTTTATCACTCTCTAATGCTTTATCATTTCAAAATTACATGAACACAGGGATTAAACTGTATTTTCTTATTTTAAACAGTGCTACCTCAGCAGCCCTAAATCAAAACTAAATATAAGGACTGATCGTTCCACCAGATCTGCAATAAATTAATGTTTGCTGTTACCGGCTACAGTCTGAATACTGTTATGGACAGAGATCTTTCTTTTCTGGGTTCACAAAAGCCTGGAAGAGGATCCCACAATATCTAATAACAATACCAACACTGACACCTTAAAAAAAAAATTCCCGTAGTCGTCATCTGATGGTCAACTATCGCTGTAGCCACTGAGATAGTAGCCTGTCTCTCTTCATTTTGTATGTTTGGTGATTGTTTGTACTGTACTCGTTTGTTGACGAATGAGATGTTAAGGGCGTCTGTATGTTTTTTATGTTTTGCGACCTTTTAAAAAACAGAATTCATGCTGAGTCAGCCCCCAATATATTTTAATCTTCCATCACCAGGCTATCCAGCATTTCCTTAAAAGATTCATGTAGTTTCAGGGTGTTTCAATTTGAATTTTTAGACTTTAACTGAAGTTCAGCAATTCACTTTCATTCAGCAACATATTGTTCATGCCCCGTGACAATTATTGGATAAAAATATGAAGGACCGCTGATACCGGATGGCGAACGGAAAGAAAAACTTCCGCATTTCGGGTAGTCCTTTAGTAATCAAAAATCGCTGCTTACATGCAGACCCGTTCCTAACTAATTTGGCACCCTAGGCAAGATTTCAGGTGGCGCCCCGCCACATTGCAGTAAACTCCACTGATAGTGTACATTTAGTCATAAGAAACTAAATAGCTGTTTGATCAACTACTACAAACTGCGAAAACGTCAGATAAATATGCCAATGCAATTAACGTTATTGCTGAATAGATCTAATATTTACACATTTGCTTGAGGAAGGATGGATTGGGGGAGTTACATTACTATTACTATTTTCCATATAACATCTATGCCCTTCCATAACATTAGGTGACGTTAAAACTAACAGATAGCCCTATAGCTATTTATTATTTAGCCATCTGTCAACGTTGGGATGTAAAAAATATGGGACAATATAAAGCTTCAAATGAAAGAATACATAGCAAACTTTAGAAAATATTGACAATAAAATAAAAGGTTTAGCCAATTAAAATCAATGGCCTATACAGAAATTAAATAAAGCTTTAAAATTTGCTTAACTTTTAATTGTATTTGCATATTGATCAAAGTTACTATAGTTATTTAGTGAAGAGCAGCAAATGAATCTCTCATTGTGTTTTGTTTGATAACAGAGGTGTTCATGTAAGAATGCACAGATCTATAATGAAACATTTGACTACTTTAGTAACTGTTTGTGCTCATTTAAGAGAAAATTAGTTTTGTTTAAAATAAAACACGCAGAAGGGACATGTTTACATATTTTTAAGTGTATTTGTCTATTTAAACACACGCCCAATCACTTAAGTATCGCTAACTCAGCGCAGTTAAGTTGGTCTTGTTTTCGATATTCCTGACACTTTCAATGATAAACGGCAATAATTCAAAAACCTCTTACCCTATAAAGATCTTAACTGTGTTTCCTTTAAAAAAGACAAAGCTGGTAATGTTTCACAGCTGTCTTTTTCTTTTTTTCACTCAACATTATGACCACTGCTTCGTTTAAGCCCTCGTAATATGCTTATAGCTCTCCCGGCTGAACGCATATTGCGAGTGGTTAAAGGGAGCAGTGGTCGTAATGTCAAGCAAAAAAAGAAAAAGAAAAAGACACCTGTGAAACTTAACCAGCTTTGTCTTTTTTGTAGGAAATACACTTTAGATCTTTTTAAGGAAAGAGGTTTTTGAGTTATTGCCGTCTATAACTGAATGTGTCAGGAATATTGAAAATAAAACCAAACTAAAATAAAGCCCCCCTGGATGTACAGCGCCCTTAGCATTTGCCTATACTGCCTATGCCACGGGCTGGCCCTGCTTACATGGTAGTCTCTTAATCAGTATTATCTTAATCATAAAATCAGGGTATTGGTGTCTATGTAAATGTACGCAGTGAAAGTGTCAGATGATGTCGCAAGCTGTCAAAGACAGCCCATCCATCTGCTTTTAAGTTGTTTCCATGAGCCTTCAAATGTTTCATTAAGTTTGACGTGTTTCCCCCTTACACCAACTTTTGTAAAGTGTCTGCTTTACATTGTTGTGTCAAAATCCTTGCTTGTAAAATACAGCCATACTTTAGAACACTTAGTTTAAGCAAATTTGATGAACGCGATCGTGCGTGTTGATGAATCTGAAGTGAGTCACTCAGCGGGTGCGCTGTACTGCGCGCGTTGTCTGAGTGCACGTGTGTGTATATATATTACGTAGTTACTTTTTATTTTAAATAATGCATTACGTTACTTTGGAGATACATTCGCGTTACTTTTTCTGTCCTGGCTGAGTCGGAACTTGCAGGGTTTTATTTTTCTTCTTCCTTTTACTTCCTCTTCCTTTTCCTTCTTCTGCCATCTTCCTTTCTGTCTGTTCCTGCATTCACTCATTGCGTGCAGGATTCAACATAACTACGATCATTTTAATCTAGCAATTTTATTTTTTAAAAGCTAATTAGTTAAACTAAAAAGTCACTTGCACACTTGAATAAAAAATTTTAAAAAGTAGCCCAAATATTATTACTTTATTTTTTCAAGTAATGCATTACTTTACTCGTTAATATTACGTAACCTGGAAAAACTTGTAATGCTAAAATAAACATATACCTATTAATGGCAAACCCAGAGAACCATTAACTTTGAAATCTCTTAAATTTCTCCAGATTAGTAACAAAATAAGAATACAATAACATAAATACTATATTTTTAATAGTACAATGTTGTTTTCTTTTAAAATGTCATTTGATCTTAATGTCAAACCTGAATTTTAGCATCATTTTATCAGACATGATGCATCAGAAATCATTATTATATGCTGATTTGATGCTATAAAATACATTATTATTATTATTATTATTATTATTAATATTATTATTGCTATTATTATTATTATTATTATTATCAACAACAGATATTTAAAAGCTGTAATAATCATTATTATTATTATTGCTATTATTATTATTATTATTATCAACAGATATTTAAAATCTGTAATAATCATTATTATTATTATTGCTATTATTATTATTATTAAACAGATATTTAAAATCTGTAATAATCATTTATTTTAGTCTTTTTTCAATTATTGTTTATAGTTTTTTTGGAATTCTCTGTTAAAAAGCTATTTAATTTTATTGTCAAATCTAAATTTTAGCATTATTATTCCAGTTCCTCTTCCAGAAATCTGTATATCATGCTGATTTGATGCTATAAAATACATTATTATTATTATTATTATTGTTATTATTGTTATTATTATGTATTTATTATTGTCAAAAGATATTTACCATTATAATAGTTTACTTAGTTGTTGTTTTTTTCAGTTACTATGTATAGTATTTTGGAATTTTCCGATGAATAGAAGGTTTGATAAAATAGCATGTACAAAGTATGTCTAATTTTTTTATTCATTGTAATTATTTATTAAGTCACAGTAGATTTAAATATGCACTGTAGAGTTTGTGAAACAAATGAGTTGAGTTATTATTAAATCTGGGATGGGCTCTTGATTTAGGTCACTGTCCCTCAGCGGCTCAAAGTGCAAAGTGCGCAAAAATCTTAATCTGTTGAGTTTATCTTTTCAACTGATCACTGATTACACTGCTGTTTTGGCTCAGCAAATGTGTGTCAATGCTAAAAACACACAAACTCAATCACACCACAATATCCTGTAGTGATTTTAGGACAAATGGATCTAATTGTGTCATTTTTTTGTTGCTGATGAAATATTTGTGTCTGGTTTGTGTTGAAGTGATTGCCACTATGAGAGACCTGAAGAAGAAGGACCGTCTGGTGGAGGCAGCGGGTGAAGTGTATGGTCAGACCCTGACTCTGCTGCCTCTGGACATCTGCAGCGATGAATCGGTCAGGCAGTGTGTCAACAGTGTAAAGGACAGACACATCGACGTACTCAGTGAGTGCTCAGTGCCAAACAACTCACAGGATTTGTTCAAAATCTAGGGGAAAAATACAGTACTTATTTTTTTAACATGGGCTGATCAAGTTCTGAGCAGCAGAATCAAGAGAGGAAAGTCTGATGGGTATGTGCAAGTTGTTTTCTGAGAGAATGACACTTGACATGCTTCGTGGCCTTTTACATCCTAAACTTGCCCATTCAACACATTCCCTTGTGTAAAGCTCTTGTGTAATCCTCTTTGACATACTTATTAATAGGGAACTTATTATGGAAATGATACACTTAAAACTAATACACACCAGAGCTGTGGTCAATGCTTTTAGGCACTGCAGAAATGAAAATGTTTATGGTAAATGTGATATGAACGTACCGGTGCATCACGGTGGCTCAGTGGTTAGCACTGTCCCCTCACAGCAAGAAGGTCACTGGTCTGAGTCCCAGCTGGGTCAGTTGGCATTTCGTTGTGGAGTTTGCATGTTCTCCCCATGTTCACTTGGGTTTTCTCTGGGTGATCCAGTTTGCCCCACAGTCCAAAGACAGGTGAATTGAATAAGCTTAATTGGCCGTAGTGTATGTACTGGGTTGCAGCTGGAAGTGCATCTGCTGTGTAAAACATATGCTGGATAAGTTGGAGGTTCATTCCACTGTGGCGACCCCCTGATAAATAAAGAGACCAAGCTGAAGAAAAATGAACAAATGAATGAAAAACTTGGTTTTGACCATATTTGGAATGTGAAAAATCAATGAGCTCTGCTCTGACAAATTCAAATCAAGAATAAATAAACATCCAAAGCTTGCAGTTTGTCCCTTCCGTCTAAATGGACCTACAATTTTTCAACGTCATCTATACTTCAGTATCTCATCAAATCTTCTGATCAGCTCTCAACTATCTGACATATCAAGACAGATTTAAAACATTACTGCTTGTTGCACTTGAGCTCAACCACTCTAACTGGCAGAGCTGATAAATCAAATACATTTTTCAAATCATTCAAATAATGTCTTTCCAAATGGCCTGTTTTTCACCAAGATTTTACACTCATGTACTGAAACTAATATTATTCACCTATACAACACATTTTCATTCTACGGCATTTTTAAGTATATTAAACAGCAGTTATACACTTTTAATGAATTTTGATACACTATGGGCTCTATTTAACCAATCTAAGCGCAAAATCTAGAGCATATGGCGCAAAAGCATTAAGGACATGTCCGAATCCACTTTTGCTAGTTGTTATAGGAGTTATAAGTGTTTTGAGCATAACGTGCACTAAACCAATCATAATCTCATCTCCCATTCCCTTTAAAAGTCAGTTGCATCATCATTTGCTATTTACTTGGCAGACTTCGGTAGTGGAAAAACTGAACTAGTGAGAAAACAGTTAAACAGAGCATCTGCAGCGCAAGAATAAAGAATGAGCCTCCTCCATTCAGCCTCTTTACTTTCTCTTTACTTTACTTTTACTCTTTACTCCTTTACTTTCATGGATGAGGAAATGGTGTTGTACACACTCTGCTATAATATTATTTTATTCCTTTAATTTTTTTCATTTGTAATGATATTTGTGTATTGCTGTACATCCTGTGTGTATTAAGCATTTAAACCTGCATAGGCGCAAAACTAACACGCTCTGTGCTGAATTTAAACCAGCTTTCAGTTGGTCAATTGCGCACTATTTTAGTTCTTTAAAATAACAAAGTGGCAACAAATCGCCTTAATACACCTTCCTTCTAGACGGGTACATATATATATATATATATATATGTATTAAGGGTGGAGCCGAACCCGAATACGGTATTCGGAAAGGCACGAATAGCGTGTTTTTACGAATACTTGATTCAAACAAATACTTGAAAAATTATTTGTATTCGGGAGCAAGAAAAACACTATATCAAAAAGCAGCGTTTCCTCATGAGACCACAGTGCATGCCCGCGTAAGTGAGTGAGAGAGAGTGAGAGAGAGAAAGAGAGAGAGAGAGAAAGAGAGAGAGAGAGAGAGAGAGAGAGAGAGAGGCAAAACGCGCCAAAGCCCGAAACTGAAAGCGAGACGTGACTTTTAAGGGGTTGTTTCATATGGATTTATTAATCATTCTTACTGTTCAGTGATCGCAAACTGCCGTAGTTTATTAAAGACGCAAACCCCTCACTGCACGTCAGCTGCGCGCCTTCAGTAGACCTCCTCATTCCTGCAGCACGAGAGCTTTATGATTGTTTATGCGCGCCAAAAGTGGCGGATCTGTCCGGTGAAATATCTGACTGCGTGTCACCGCATCCCTAAGGACTGTTTGGCGAAATATTTGACTGCATGTCACTGCATAACAAACCACTGAAAGGATATAACTAGAGAACTCTCCACTGTGCTACTGGGTGAAAGCGTATGGCAAGCCGTTTTAGCATTTAAACCTTGTTCAGACTATCCATAAATATATTTAGAGATATCTCTAATTATATTTTGACTTGTCATAATTATAATTCGACTAGTCAGATTGGAAATATCTGCAAATATATTATGATAGACTAGTCATATTCCTCCATTGACTTCCATTGAAAAATATTTGCAGATATCTCTAAATAAGTTGACTAGTCACAATTGTAATTAGATATATCTCCAAATGAATTTTGACTAGTCAAAAATCCAATTCAAGATATCTACAACTGTAATTAGACTTTTAGTAAATTAATTAGAGATATCTTCAAATATATTTGTAAATATCTCTAAATATGATTAATTAAAGATATCTCTAAATGTATTATGACTAGTAAAAACTCAGAGATATCAATTACAATTGTTACTAGTCAAAATTCATCTGATTTCGTACTAGTACAATTGTAATTGCAGACATGTCTAATTGTCATTCTGAGTAGTGGAATTATAATTATGACTAGTCAAAATATAATTAGAGATATCTCTAATATATTTATGGAGTCAGAACAAAGATTTAAATGCTAAAAAGGCTTGCCATAGAGAGCGCTTCTCACTGAACAGAGCACCGCGCAACCTTCTATGTAATGTATTTTCACATGCACTAAAAGCATCAACACAGCCACATTCTGCCCCAGCAAGTCAGTTTCAAACATAAAAAAAAAAACAAACAAACAAACTTTGTGTCTTTTTTGTGGCTGGCAGATGATAATAGCAGGGCTGTATCTTTTAGTATTATATAGAATACTTTTGTTCTGCCAGATCTCCCAGGCAGGGTTTTATTTAGATTTATTTAGTTAATATTAGTTTTTGGAATTCTGTCCATTAGAAAGAAGGTCTTTCAGAAGAAGAACAGTTTTTTGAAGTATTATTTGTTTTTACTGTCTATTCAGTGTCCTTCAACAAGAACGGTGGTGGTGGGATTCATAATATTCACAATGGTATTTTATTAGTTGTTGGTTTAACCATGGATGAGATAATGGCTTCTATGTTATTTTCTTTTCAATGACATTTCTTATCACATGTTCAAAAACAACAGCCAATATTGCATATCTATAATTTATGTAATGGGTATAATTAAACAATACTTTCACTATAACGTAAATTAGAAGTGTAATAGAAAAAATATATATTTTTGCGCCATTTTGAATTTTACTCGAATACAAATACAAATACAAATACAAATACAAATACAAATACAAATACTTTTCCCCCTTCAACAAATACAAATACAAATACAAATACCGGCTGCTCCGCACATCCCTAATATGTATATATATTAGGGCTGTCAAATGATTATAAAAATAACGTGATTAATCACACTTATTTGTAATTAATCATGATTAATCACGAAATCCTGTATTTATTACAAAAGTAAAAACACAGGCATGTACTGTAAGTGCCATTTAAATAAAAAAAACAATCCATGCCAAAAACAAACAAAAATTCTTTCCATGTTGGATTCTAAGTGGACTACAAACACACAAACACACACACGCGCACACACACATACATACGCACGCACGCACGCACACGCACACGCACACACACACACACACACACACACACACACACACACACACACACACACACACACACACAGATGGAGAGAAACAACGTGGGCAGTGCCGGTGAGCGAGAAGGATCCCTTCAGATTCACGCACGATTGCGTCCATCAAATCTCCTTAAACTAAGCATTCTAAATTATGGCTGAGGAACGTGAAACAGACGCTTTACAAAAGGGGGAAACACGACAAATGAAACATTTGAGGGACGCAGGTTAAGGGCAGAGAAATGTCTTTGAAAGCTTCCGAATTCATCTGGCACTTTCATTCACATGGAAACCAATACTCTTTGTTTTGATTAAGATAATACTGATCAAGAGTCGACCATGTAAACAGCAATTTTTGATTATCCTAAATGACCACGCGAGTCCCGAAATGTGGAGGTTTTTCTTTCCGTTCGCCATGCGGTATCAAATTCCATTAAAACATCCTGAATGAAAATATGCTGAATGGGAGTGAACTGCTGAACTGCAGTTAAATTCTAAATATTAAAATTGAAACACTCAAAATTGCATGAAACTCTGGAGGAAACGCAGGATAGCCTGAAGATGCGACATTAATTGTTTTATACTGAAACTTTCCTTCTAAAAAGACGTCCTTGGTCTTATCCATATTTCTTTGCACGTTAAACACACGTAGGGCCAGAGCAAGCTGAACTGGCGCTCTAGGCAAACGGCAATCACGCCGTTTTATTCTTATGGAAGGCAGGGGACTGTGAGGTAGGGGGTGGGTGTAGCGGATAAATGTGAGGACCGGGAAGTTCGTTTGCTAGGACCGCCTAGGTCGCCTCTATGTACGCGCCGGCCCTGAACACACGTCGGCCACAACAGGAAATAAAAAAAACTGCAACTGCATTTTTTGTGTTTTTTTTTTTTTACGCATTAAATATTTCAAATCAATCAGGTCTATTAACACGCTAATTTTGACAGCCCTAATATATATATATATATATATATATATATATATATATATATATATATATATATTATTAGTATCTAACATAAGT